CAGGAACAGCCTTCAGGATGGAGTCAGGCAGCAAGTACACAGCCCCAGCCAGAGTGCACCAGGACAGCGCTGGCTCAGAGGAGAGTGTCCAGCTCAGCCACCCAGACCCTTCCCTGCGTGATCCAAGGTTGCCTGCTCCATCTGAGCTGCATCAGAGCTGCTCTCACCTGCCCCAGCAAGAGGAAACAGCTCAAACCTGTTGTATGGAGGCTACCAGCTCCTCGCACAGCTGGAACCTCCTCCTCCTTCTCCCCACAGGCAGCTTCCTAAGGGCCAGGAGCCGGTCAGGAGCATGGAGTGCTGGGCAGGAAGCACTTGTATGTACCTTGATTGGGAGAGCAGAACACAATGGCCCCTGCGCAGCGCAACTGGCACATGGGAACTCAGAGCAGCTTTTGTGCCATCGATTTTTGCCCCAGCTAAATGCACATGAAAAAGTCATTCAAGAGGCCACTTGAAAACAGTCTCTGGCTCTAACATGGGTGCACACACTCAGGGTGTCAAATGATTTCGAATCAGCCAAGAAAGGTCTGATCAGCGTTAGATGAATGGAAAGAATCCGCCTGACTTAGTGAGCTTTGGATCCAGCCCTGAGTTATTAGGAAGTAGCTATCAAACCTCGAAGCAGGCAGCTGAGAGAAGTGAAACTCTACCCAGGTGTTAGAGATCCTGAAACAGGGAAGGAATTTTTCTTCCCCTTGGCCCTGGAACAACAACAATAGCACTTCTTCTACCCTTAAAGCCTATTTCTGAGCTGAGCAGGCAAGCAGTTATCATCATCCTCCTCATCACTGCTATCTGAAGCTCTTTGAAGCCAGAAGTGGTCACTCTGCCAAGGGATTGCACCCTGCAGGCTGTGCCAGCAGCTCTCACACACAGCCTGGCTGCTGCAGGGCACTTCCACACCGGAGCTGCAGGAAGCAGCGGCACTGGATGCCCTGTGCAGCCAGCCAAGGGGACCCGCAGGGTGAGGGTTTAATGTGAGGACGGCAGAGAAGGAGGAAACTGGCAACAGTCCTGGAAATTTAAAGCCCTTTCACTGCCCAGCTCTCTAAAATAAAAAGTATTTGTGATAAATTAATGAATTAATATCATCTTGCCTCCCTAAGCCATCTCACTCGCTCGCCCTTGCTGAGGATAGAAGCCATATAGGTACCATAGGAGATAAACGCAACTCTCAGCCTCGCTGATGCAGCCTCACTGCTTGTCCTTGTCCCAGCAAGGGGAGGGTAATTCCCCTAATTCCCTCAATCCCAGGAGGGTCTGTGGCTGCCAGGGAGGTTCCTGCACCACGTTACGGCTCCGCTGGCTCATGCAGGTCCTTCCCGGAACCCGCCTTCCCGGCTCAAGCGTTTCTGGGAATGAGGTCCCAGGGCTGTTGGTTTGGGGAGCCTGCCAGGATGGAGGGGATTTGGGGGAAAAGCGTGGGGCCCCTGCTTTGGTTAACCCCTTCCCCTCCAGCGCTGGGTTCCAAAGCTGCCCCAGGGATGGGCCCCAGCCACCTCGCTCTGCATCTCCAGCCTCAGCAATGAGAGCCTCAAGCTTTGTGCATCCCCCTCTGCGTGTCTACGGAGAGATGATGCTTCCCCGGGTATCTGGTGGAAAAAAAGGAAGGGAGGGGAGAAGCTTCCAGCCAGTGCAAGGCAGCAGGAGCCAAGTCTGAGCCTCGCAAATCTCCGGCCCATCCCTCACGGGTTAAGCGGGCTCTGCGTGTGCTAAGGTCAACACAGGCTGCACCTGCCCACGGGCTCCTGTGCGCGGCAGCACAATTGATGGCTTGTTCCTTTCATAAGTGCCGTTGGAGCGCGGTGCCCAGGCCCCGAGCCAGCCTGCTGATCACATAAAATATTATTTGTGTTTAAAAATTCCAGTAATTGACTATGCACCGGTTTTTTCCAAGCCTTCTGCCAAGGGCAGTAAAATCAAAATCCGTCCCAGGTTATTTTCATCATGCAAATTCCCATCTCTGTAAACAGGAGTAAAGCGGCAAAGACCCACTGCCTGCAGCCGCCCGGCCGGGCCGGCCGCCAGCGTGTGCCGGGAGCGCGCCGGGGCCCCGCGGGAAGCACCGGAGCAGGGAGCAAGGTGCAGCGCTGAGACCTGCCCCGGCCGCAGCCATCCCTGCCCTGCGCTGTCCCCTCATCCCCTCCCATCTTCCGCTGCTGTTGTCCCAACTCCTCCCTCTGTGGCATCTTTCCCCTGGGATGCTCGCTGGAGCCCAGCGCTTGCCCCGCTGCTGCCTCTCTGCTCACACCAGCTGCTTGGGATGCTCTAATCTTCCACAAGGATCTGGCCAGTCCTCACCGCTCATATATCAACCCAGCGTGGAAGAAGGGAGTGTCCCTGAGACGGGAACTCGGCATTTCCTGATGGAAACCCCCTTGCAGGATGTGTGGAAACAGAGGTGTCCATAGCTGTGTGCGGCGGGTTTTTGGCTGCAGGGCTCTGTGCTGGTGAAGCCTAAGTGCTGCTTAGGCCAGCTCCCCCCCCCCCCCCCAGCTTCTCACCCCAAAGCTCCAGCAGTGGTTTCTTACAGCTGAAACTCAGTGAGACTCAAAGGCTCTGGCAGGAGGCTCTGGTGGGGCTTTGGTGGTGGTTTGCAGCCATCCGAGGACGCTGCAGGAACCACAGGGTAATGGGAGATCCCAAAGCAGGACAGCTGCCCCTAACCCTCAGGGGAAAGCTCTCCAGAGTAAACCTGAGTGTTTCAGGGCAGAGCTGGTACAATGGGGCTCTCCAGACCCTGGAAGATGAGCAGTAGATCTGTGGGGGATCCCAGTGATTTGCAGTTGCTAGAGCTGTGCAGAGTTTGTGGTTTTGAGGCCAGGGCTAGGAAGAGGTCTGGAAGGCAATAGAAAGCATTGCCAACCCCCAAAACACTCCAGAAGTTGCCTCAGAGAGAATAACCAGCTCTAACTCAGTGCCCTGGGGCACTCACCAGCCCGGAGGGCTGAGGTTAGGGCCATCAGCTACATGAATTATCCCATTCTCGATCATTACCAGACCTCTTTGTACCCAGTTTGGAAACCTGTGGGAACAGCTGGGCTCGCGTGGGACACTGCCCCACACAAGGCCCTGACCTACTTGGAAATGGCAGTTTTGTGTTCCTATGGGCCTTTTGGTTTTGCATGCATAAGCAAAGATGACATTTTATCCTCTTCAAGGAGAGGGGAGGGAGACCTTGCTAAGAATTCACATCTGTTTTGGAAACAAGTCAACGCAGGAAAACTACCCACATGGAGAAGTAATGTGGTTTTGATTGTATTGCACTCTATAGAAAGTAGTGCATACATATTAAACTATATTAGACAGTATAATAATAGCTTACAGTTAGTCTGCCTTTCATCTGGACGTGCTTCACAAACGTCACAGAAATGCAGAAGCCTCTCACTGCCACTGAGATGCCACCTCTGTGGCATCCCTGCACATGTAAACCAGCACAGCAGCCTCAGACCACCAGCCACCTTGAAACCCTTGCCAGTTGGGATGGGAAAGGTTCCTGTCCTCGCCATGCTCCAAGTTTAACATCCAGGGAACAGCCATGCCTGACAGCAAATGGCTGAATAAGGACTACAGGGAAGCAACTGTGTTATGTTTTATTTTAAGGTGATCCCTGCAGTCTAAATCTTGGCTAATTACTTTGGCTCCATCTTAAATGTTGCATGATTAATAGATATGGATGTGTGTTTAACTAAAACCTATCACGTTTGAAGGGAATAATAACAATAATAAGTTTTTCCATCCATTGAGATCCAGACCACTTATGATAATTGAAATTGCATGACACTGCCAGTGAGGGTCTTGAGATAGTTTCCAGTTACCCAGGTAATCCTGTTCTGCCTCCTTTATTGCTCCAGGGATCTCAAGTGGATACTGGCATTTTATTTTCCTTTTCCCTCATCCTCCTGGACCGCTGCACTCTTCTGTAACACAACCAATGGCTTCTGGTGAAGCACTTTTGGATGTGCTTAGTGCAAAACAGGCCTGTTGTAGAGCAGCAGGATCCACACTGAAGGCCAGGGGCTGTTGGGATGATGCAGGGTGAGTGTGCTCTGGGAGCAGAGGCAGCCGAGGGGTGAAAATCCAGCTTGAGGAGCAAAGGGAGACCCTTTTCTGGTCCGGGTCCCACTGCTCACTGATGTGCCTCATCCCATGGCAGAGGGGATGGCTGCTCGGCCGCTGTTTATACGAGGGCAGTGACGAACAGGCTCAGCTCAGCGATTGCAGGAGGCTTTGTACAAACAAGGAGATGAGAGGCAGAGGGGAGGGATCGGGGCTTGAAATACCGGCTGTAAACACCACGTGTTTCAAGGAAAGACAACTTGGAGCAGGGTGATCCAAACTCACCAGTGTTGCAAGAGTGGAGCAACAGGGAGGGCGACGCGCGGCCGTGTGCCGGCGCGGGGCTGAGCTTTCACAATAAATGATTAAAGCATGGTTCAGATCCCGTCAAATGGAACGGTGCTAATCTAATCACAATCCATCTGGCACTGCCACATCTGTCCCAACACCTCCACCTCTTCATTTTCAATCAGCCTTAAATAGTACATAATTATTAATGTCTACCCGCCTGTCAGCCGGCGCGGGGGATTCACTTATCTCTCAAGATTGGCTAAGGCAAGACACTGATATCGATGGATCTAGTGCCCGGCTCAGAGGGCAATAAGCCTTTTGCCCTTGGTTTCAGTCCTCCCTTGGTCATGGGGGCCTTGGGGATGGGAGGGAAAGTCACACAGAGCCCCTGGAAGCTGGCACCAGGCAGGGATTCAGCCGCTGGCTGTGGTCAGTGACTGGCTCAGCAGTGTCACCTTGATGCATTGCTTTGCTCAGATCCAGAGCTCACTGCTGTTCACAGGGGTGGTTGCAATAGGGTTTTTTTGGCTCTTCCAAGAAACAAGCCAACGCCAAAGCCCCAGCTCTTTGTGGGGCTTTCTGTGTGGGCTCTTTGCAGCTCTGGCTCACACTGACCAGCCAAACTAAGCAGTGCAACATCTTACCAATCCTTAGGAGTTCTACTGCGAGTCTTCCAAAACCTGGAGACGTTTAAAGGCTCAGGAATCGTGTGGTTATGTGAAAATCTTGTCTCTTTCCTCCTTTATAGAAAAAATATTTTCCTGTTCTTGTGGCTGAGATAAAGTACAAAAATATGAACTGGAGCAATGTGAAACCCAGAAACAGCAGCTTTCCTGGATGATTTTTAGGTGCTGCCTCAGGCCAGGGAGACACAAGCTGTGATTTCCTAATGGTCAAGATTAAAGTCCTCTTTCTGCCCAGGTTGAAGGAGTTGGGACCAAGCCTCTGCCCCAGCCGAAGGATGTGCTCGGCTGCAGCCGCTGAGCTCGGCTAAGCCGAAGGCTGGGAGAGAAGCGCTGGATGGCAAAGCTCAGGAACAGCCTTAAGAAAGCAGAGCCGAGAGCAAATACTCTGTGCACATTGAGCGAGCCCCCCCTGCATGTTTACAGAATAAGTTACCAAATAACCAGTGTCTGGGGGATATCTGGTGAGCCCTTGAAACGAACGCTGGTGTTTTGATCAGCGCCATCGATCTGCAGCCGCCGCGCGGTGCTTACGTGGATTTGGAGGTTGAAAGGCGCTCGGTCGCAGTTCACAGTTTGTTCACAGACAAATCCTGCTGGTGGGGTTCTTTGTGGGCCTTTCTTCTCGGGAAGAGCCTGCTCAGCACGTCCAGGTGAGAAAGCTGCTTTCACACCGCTCTGGGCATCTAAGGCATGGGAGTTAAAGGCAGATCTGGTGGAGGGGAGAGCGGAGCTGTAACAAGAAGCGCTCCTCTCATCTCCATTCCGCTCAGGAGAGGATGTTTCCACAGGGCTTGCAAAGGCAAAGGCAATAGGTGCAAATTGCTTCTTGGTGAAGGGATGGAGAAGTCCAACCGGAACCGCAGGGAAGCGAGGGAGCTGAATAAAAGGCCCATCTGATCCCCAGGTCTTCACCTCATCCTCTGGCTTCCTTAGAGACCCAAACCCATGACCTGGGTCAGACAAGGGGCCAGGTTCTAGGATGTGGAGTTTGGGTGCTGAAGGGGAAGACAGCAGTTTGCTCTGGTCTGGGTCTGTCCTGGCTTTCCAGAAAGTGTTGGCCCATGGACTGTTTTGCTTCGAAAATAAGAGTAAATCAATGGCTTCTCTTGGCTTGGGTGAGCTTGGGAATGGCTGTGATTTATAGGCCTCTGGTTGGTTGGAGTTTCAGGCTTGCCTGAAGCCTGGGTGATGCCACAAAGGAAGGAAAACCCCAAACCCCAGCTAACTGAAACCAATGGAGTCGTTACTTAGGTGTGGGCCGTGTGCTCCATTTGCGGATCCTTCCTGAGGTCCCCAAGTGTCAGAGCTCACTTTTGGGTCAGTTTTGCTCCCCACCCTAGAAAGGTGTCCATGAAGCAGGACAGAGCAGCGCTCCGCTTTGCTCCCCAGGAAGCACCAGGGCTGGTGCAGCCGGTGCAGCACCCGCAGCATCCTCTGCTGCAGCTCCTGGTGCAGCCTTCCCTCCACATCCCGTTTCTTCCCCCCTTTCTCTTTCTTTCTTCCGTTTTATTGCCTCGATCATCTCTGGACACTGGTTTCACTTTGATCTCTGGAAACTTTGGCATCGCTCCGAAAAAATATATGTAGATATTGGGAAAGAAAAAAAAAAGGAGAATAAGGGAAAAGCCGAGTCTTTGTTCCCCACAGCTGTTGTCATGCTGGAGCAAATCTCCACACAGGTATTAAATGCTCACCATTGATCAAACAGCTGGTGGTCCAGCGTTACCGGCACGGACCTGCTGAAGCCGAGTTATTTACACGAGAAATCATTTGGTTCCTGAGGTCTTGCTTGAGTTAAAGAGAAAAAAAACCCTAAAATCACAGAGTGGTGGGGAGCAGAGCTGGAGATGTGGGGTGCTGCGGGGCAGGGCAGAGCTGTTGGTGCCACTAAATCCTGGGCTGTGGCTGCCCTGCTTCCTCCCCATGGGTACCCCGAAAACACTCAGCCCTCCAACCATCACTGGAACCCTCAGCCTTGCAGCTCCCACAGTCCCATTGCCCGTCCTGGGACATCCCACTGAGGACATGGAGGGAGACCCGCTGCAGCCGGGAGATGGAGCCCGGCGGGCGGGTACAGGAGGGAGAGGCTGGGGCATCGTCTGGCTCCCACATGTGCCTGGGTTGTTAGGAAGATTTATAGGGGAGAATGCGAGGCTTTTTCTCTTTGGCTTTATAATAATACATTAGGCTTTTAACCTCTGACCGGGAGCTCTGGGAGGGGGATGCTCCAGGCAGCCCCCGGGAAGGGGAGCGGGTGGGTTGGGGTCCTGGGGGGCCGGGTGCGATGCCGAAGGGGTTAATGCGATGTGGAGGAATGCTGGAGTTTAACAGGAGGCGTCGGCTGTCTTGAGGTCACCTGCGAGGGATTAGCGGGCGCAGACAGTTGTTGTTTGAGGACTGTCTGAGGCCAGGGAAGGGGTGGCGAGGCCCCAGGGCAGAGGGGGCTGCAGCCCCACCAGAGGGATCTTCCCTGTCAGCCTGACTGTGAACTGGTGTCTTTTCTGCTAAGGAAATTAATCCATCACCATTGGGAAGAGAAGGAACGGGGACCAGTGGCAAGGGGGGGAAGTTGGGGTGCAAACTGTACCAGAGCCCAGGTGGGCAGCAGAGATGCTGAGGAGGAATTGAAATGTTGCAGGCATGGCCAGGACTCACCAGGCTGTCCATGCGTGAGCTCCTTCCAGAACAAGGGCTGCAAGACAGCTCCCTCCCGTGAGGACCATGAGATAACTGGTCCTTGCCGGTGTGCGCCCAGGTGTGCAAGGGCAGCGTGGAGGGATCTCCGTGTTAGCTCTGAGTATGAGCAACCTGAGGTTTTACACACCTTCCATCACCACAACTGACTCACAGGCTTGGCTGGGGCTGTGGGACCTGCCTCGTTGCTGCCTTGATCCCAAATCCCTGTAAAACTGCTTTGTCCTCCATCCATGGCTGTGCCCTCTCTGAAGCCGGATCAGGAGATCCGTGCTCCTTCCCAATGGCTTGGGAGTTGAATCAACACGTGACTTTTTTGCTGTACCTCTTGCTGTAGTATCTGCACCCTCTGCAGATGAAAGGTATTAGATGAGGATAAATTCTTAATCATCACAAAAATCAATCATTCCTTACCTATAATTTAGTTGAAATTAATCCAGCAGACGAGCAAAGGGCCAAATGCTAAGCTGTGTCCTGGGTCTCTTTATTGACTCGGAAGGAGAGCATCTTCCATTCCAATCAAGAGCAAAGCTTGACAACCTGCACCCAGAAGTTTTCCATTCTGAAAGGGAGAGCACAAAGAAAAACCCCACAGAATAAATAACCTTATTCTTTAAAGAAACATCCTGATTTTTCTCTGGTTGGGGCTGGATCTGACTCATGGTTTGACATGCTGGAGGGAGGGTGCGGAGCTGTAAGAAGTCAGGAACACCCTGTGCTTACCTGCAGGAGGTTCAGCCTTGTGGTTTATTTAAATATAGGAGCCCAATTTGCATTTCAGGGCTTGTAGCAGCCCTTAAACATTGGGTTTATTTACATGAAGGAGACCTCTCCTTGGTGAGAGCAGAGCAGGTTTGGTGATAAAGCAGAGGCCGTGTGGCCCAAACTGCTGGAGAGACCTTCTAAGGCAAAGAGGCTCCCTGGGGCTAATGGGTGCTTTTATTGTACCAGCCCTGTAATAAAACACAAAATAAAGCAATTTTATTGAAATTCAAATGTAAATAGAAGATATGTCTCACACCCCATCCCTGCCCCTGCCAAGATCTGTGTCTGGCAGCAGGGAGATATCCCAGCTCCATCTGTGCTCCGGCGGGCTTCAGACCCGGGTCTGCCTCTTCCTCCACTGCACTTCACGAGCAGGGACCCAGCTGGTGCTGGAGCTGGGTGCTGCATGGCTGGGTATAGGATGCTGGAGCCCCAGGACAGGAAAGGGCTTCCTGGGAGCCATGCAGGGAAGGAATAAATTGCTGGGGGTTTCCCACTGGGCACATTTCATAGCACTCAACTTTAACCTGCTTCTGCTCCTCGTGTTGTGAATGAATAGCGAGAGGTGTTGTCCAAAGGCAATGCTGAGCACCCAAAGGACCAGGCAAGTGATGGCACGGTCAGAGCCAACCCTGCTCACCTCTGGGAAGAGATCTGCTTTGCCCAGGTCCATCTCAGGGGTGGTGCAGCAGGAGCCACCCATCCCTGCTCCCTAAGGAGCAGTGGCAGCAGGGCTTGCCCTGGCCAAATGCATCCCAGCTGCTGGCTGAAGGAAGCATTCCCTGCATCCGTGGAGGGGTTCTGGTAGTGGCTGAGGGACAGGATAATAAAACAGGAAAAAATTAACATGTAAGAAAACATAGCTGCACCTGAAGCAACAGAGCAAAGAGAGTCAATGCAGTTCCCCTCAATGCCAGAGGAACTGTACGTCAGGGGAACAGGCCGGTGCCCCCCTCCTTCCCCCCCGGCTCTCGCTAACTCCTATTTCAAAGGCAGACAAACAACACACTGTACTGTGTGGCATCTCCACTCTTAAATCTTCCTGTCTTCAGGTCCGTGTAATGTGAGCTGCGGGGCAGGATCTGACCCTTGCGCCGAGCGGGAGCCGTCCGGGGCACAGCCTCAGCTCCAGAGAGAAATCCCCTTGGCCGGATCTCCAAAGCCCCTGGACGAGCCGGAACAATCCTTTGGGAGAGCCCAAAGCGCTGCTGCGGGCTCTGGTCTTTGGGGTTTTGGTCAAACCCCATGGCAGCCGGAGAGCCCTGCCCCAGGCTGAGCCCCTGCAGGGGCCAGGGGCTGCAACCACTCGCCCAGCTCTGCTGCACCTTCTCCATTCAGGCTCTGCTTATTCATGGCAGCCCGAAAGCCGTTTGTGTCACCGTGCTGGCCATCAGGCAGTGCTGGACTCCATGGACCAGTGTCTTGGAAGTCATCTCCTGCCATGGACTAAGTGCTGCCTGGAGGCTGGTTGTGTTGCTTGCTGTGCTTTGCTTTTCCTTCTTTCTTCCCCCTCCACCCCCTGCTTTCTTTCTTGCTTTCTCTCTCTTTCTTTTGCAAAGAGACATCATCTCTCTCCCACTCTCACTCTCGCTCTGTGAGAGCTGATGCAGTTAATTGGAGCTTCTTGTAAGTGAACATTAACGCAGGCAGAGCCAAGAAGACGTCTTGGCAGCAAAATATCATTATCAGCTCTTGAGCTCCAGCCAGAATCCCCTTGTGGTCAAAACACCATTCTTTAAACCAAACAATTAAGGGTTTGTGCAAGTGTTGCTGCCACGAGTTATCGGGATGTGTTGGGGCCACCCCATCCCTGTGAAACCTCCCGCTCTGAGCAGGCAGGCAGGTGATGGGCTGGAACCTCCACAGCATGGGTAGAACTGGGCAGTGGCGGCGAATTCACCCTTCTCCCTCACCGCACAAAGAAAGGAAAGCATTGCAGCCTCTGGAAACTTTCTGTCCAGGTTAGAGCCTCATTTGAGCCTCAACGGGGGAAAAGTCAGTGAAAGAGGATCAGTTTAGACAACTTGAGGTTGTCAGGAGGCCCTGAGGTACCTCAAACACAAACCTTCATCTTCAGGCCTGGCTGAATCTGCCACTGCTGCTTCCTACCTTTACAGGGGGACCCAACCCAGGCAGGGCAAAGAGGCATCAGGGCTGCCACAGGCAATCACGCTTCCTCTATTTTCTTCTCCTCTGATACCTGCTTTCTTGTCTGCTATCCCACTTCCTTCCCCAGTCTCCTGCCCACCTCTCTATGGTTCTTCTACCATCCCTCTTCTCTGCTTACTCACCAGCAAAAGTGCTGGTCTGGTGTTACAACCATATTCCTATGTATAGCAGCTGATAGAGGAAATAATAGATAAAATATCGAGTGCTTCAGGGGCAGAAGGTGTGGAAATACAGGTCTTGATATCTCTTATCACAACAGCAATAAAAGGCAATGCTTTTTCACACCCATCCATGCTCACGAGAGTCTGAGCACGAGCATCCAGCAAAAAGAAACTGAACCAACACATGGATACCCAGACCTGCCAGCACCTGGAAATGAGAGCAGCACCCTCAGCCTTTCCCTTTCCTTCAGGCTGAAGGAAATGGGGACTTGTGCTTTGGGACCGACCCCTTCACCTGGGAAAGTCCCTTCCAGGACATTGTGACATTAGAGGGGGAAAAGAGGCAGAAGGGGAGGATCCCCTCAGCACGGGGGGATGCGCAGGGCTGTGTCCGAGCAGCGCTCCCTGCTCCTGGGCACAGGTCCTTCCTTTGCCCCTGGCAATATTCAGGCCACGGATGTGAGCTCTAACCCTGCGTCTGGCTGCACCCAGGTCTGTTTCCCCCTGCGCATTGCATGGCTGCCGTGTGCAGGCTGCGGGGGCCCCTCTGGCCTTCCTGGGGACAGTCCCACCGCCACCTGTTCCTATGGAGAAGGCTTTTTATCACAACCACTCGGCAAACAGCGCCCGCCGGAGCCCCTCTCTGCCCGGAGAGAGTCAACAAGGAAAAACAAACATTCCTGGTCCTTGTGCACACACATCCCGGGCTGCTCAGCGTGCCAGACCGGGGGCTCCCAGAGCCAGGGCCGGTGGGCACAGCCCCAAGCCTTGCTTTGGGGCAGCCGGGAAGGACGCATCCCCCCTTTGCAAAGGGCTTGTCCCTCTTCCCTTCCCTGGCAGTGGGTCCAACAGGGTCAGACCTTGGGCTTCACTTCCCAAAGGGGCTTCTTCCCAGCAAGCTCTGAGGTTGCAGCGTTGAGCTTTGACTGCCCCCGTCTCCCACTCCCTTCCCACTCCCACCAAGGCGGGGGGAGAGGGAGAGGGCAGACAGGATCCCCCATTGCGACAAGCGCTTGCAGAGCCGGAGCTGGGAATTAACATGCTCAGGCTGTAATTAGGGCTTCAGCACCGTGACACCTTTATAAGTGTCTTTATTTAAAAGCAGGTAAATTGGAGGCTTCCAGGTTGGGTACGTTAGCAGGGGGAGGTGGTGGCAATGATGGTGGGGAAGGGATGAGACAGGAGTGAATTATTTTTAGTGGCATCCTTGTGCAGTGATGGGTTAACCATGGCCTGGGTGATGGGTGGGAGATGTAGAAACTTGAAGGAAGTTGGTTGCAGTCAGTGGGGAAAGAGAGTATTTGTATAGCTCCTACATCTATCTGCCTGTTGAAAGGGAACGGGGGTTAAGCTGCATAGGTTGGACCCCCCCCATTGCATATCAAGGTTGTGCTCATCCCATTGCCTGCTCCATTCCGTACACCTGCTTCTGTCAGCACATTTGAGCCTCTGCCTGCTTCACCAGTGACCAGGGAATGGCTGGGAATTACCCCCAGCAGGAGGAGGAACAGGAGCAGGGCCGCGGTTATGGGAAGCAGGCAGCTGGGACTGAGCCTTCCACCAGCACTGCAGCATCGCACCCATGAGCCGTGGGCACCCTGCCGCTGGCCCCACGCTCACCACCGGCCATCCTGGCTGCTTAGACACAGCGTTTGGATGCAGATGGCACCACCGGCAGGCTGAGAGTTCAGGGATGTGCACATCTAGACCAGTCTCGAGGCTTTCTCTTTTTCTCCCTGACAGCTGCTGCCTCTACTTTAGGCAAGGACATTAGCACCGAGAGGAAAAAAAATTTGATTTTAATGCAAGCCCCAGTAATCAGCTATTTGTGATGGAATTTTATCTGTCCTGGTCTCTAAGGGATGAGAAGCAAGCAGAGAGGAAAGAAGGGTCAGAAATTAGTATGCAGAAATATCTGATCAGCCAAAGTAATTTTCTTTAATAATCGTATTCATACTGGCTGCTCTCCGCTCACTAGAAGAATTAAGTATTTAATAGTAATATATTTCATCTGGCAGCAGTTCCGTTTCGTTAGGAGCCGCGATGCCTCCCGGGGAGGGGGTGGGCAGCGCATGGCAGGGGCGCCGCTGCCGCACGCACCGGCCCCACCGCAGTGCCTCTGGGATGGGGCAGCATTCCCGCAGCGTGGGACAGCCTGCAGCATGGCTGTAGGCACGGAGCAGCGAGCTCCCAGCAAGGGAAAGGGAGGTGAGGGACTGGACCATCGACACGTGCTTCGTGTTGGGCCCTGGGTCGGGAATCCTGCGCTGCTGCATCCTTTGGGTTGTGCAATACAGGAGGTCACACCACGGGGACAGCGGGTTGCTCCGTGCCCTTAACCCCCTGGTTCTGTAACTGCTGGGAGATGCACTAATTCTTGTCATTGGCATCCATTCAGACACTGAACTGGAGCATGTCCATAAGTCCCATTGGCTCTTATAGGACTTATCTACATACTTAAACACTGCCCTGAATATTGATGTTTTCCCAAATCAGTGATTATTCACAACAGTCCCATAGGAAATGTGAGAGCCTCCGGGAAGGAAGCTGCAAGCGTGGATCTGTCCGAGTGTCTGTCATGTCCTATGTGGGCACACACAGACATCTCTTGCTCCAGACATTGGCAGCATCTTTCCACCATGGCAGCACCTCGAGCACCAGTTCAGAGGAAAGGAACCCAGGCAGCAGCACAATTGCACCTTAGCAAGGGCAGGACTGTGCTCCCCAGGGCCACACGGGCTGCAGGCACAGGGAATGTGTCCTGTTTGAAACCCCCAACCCCACGCCTCCATCAGAGCTCCCCTGGGACAGCCAGAGCAAGGGAATGGGGTTACCCGCTCTGTGCCAGCCCTGCCTCCAACACCCACTGTGATGTGCACATGGGAGGGGAGAAAT